CAGTTTGCTGTCCTCTGAAGATGCCGGCCACAGAGACTGGCGAAACGTTAGGAAGAACCATCTCAGTTTGCTGTCCTCTGAAGATGCCGGCCACAGAGACTGGCGAAACGTTAGGAAGAACCACCTTCAGAACACAGCCAAGAAGCCCGAAAAACCCACAACAACCGTTTTAATATTTGTTTGTACATTTTTATATTGCTAAACTACTGTGATGGTATTACCTTTCCTTTTTATCATTGACAGCTACAGAGTAGTTTTGCAGAAAGGTATAGTAAAATTACTAATATATTGCCATTTTTCTAACAGCATATATATTTTAAAACTCATGACTGTTATGATCCAAGTATCTTCAACTGTGACTAGTGATAATCAACAGGGCTTTTCTGTAACACATACGCAGAAGAAATCTTCACTTTATAAAACACACATCAAGAACGCAAAGATCAGTTTGACAGAAAAGGAAGGAAAAGCTCACTTACTTTCTCTGTAGTTACAGTGAGAGAAGGAACCAATGATGGTGAAGATTCAGACTGCTTCTTGTGTTTTTGTTTATGTTTATCCTTTTCTTTATATTTCTAAAAGAGAAATGAAAATAAAATAAAATTCAACATATATCAGCAATAATAGGCTTATTGAAAGTATATTTCAATGTTTTTTGACATGAATTGTTATTATAAAATTAAGTATTCAAATGTGTACAAAATAATGGCTAAAATCCTGTTGGTTTGCTATGTTGGCGGAAGGCATGTACAGTGGATATAAAAAGTTTACACACCCCTGTTAAAATGTCAAGTATCTGTGATGTAAAAAAAATGAGACAAAGATAAATCATTTCAGAACTTTTTCCACCTTCAATGAGACCTGTGAACTGTACAACTCAGTTGAAAAACAAACTGAAATATTTTAGGTGAAGGGAACTAAAAATAAAAAACTGAAATAATATGATTGCATCTGTTGACAATATTGACTGGTATTTGAACTGTTCATAATTCCCTCTACCTTGACTAAGGTCCCTGTCCCAGCTGAAGAAAAACAGCCCCAAAGCATGATGCTGCCGCCACCACGTTCACTGTCAGTATGGTGTTCTTTTGGTGATGTGCAGTGTTGTTTTTGCGCTTTTAGGGCCGAAAAGTTCAACCTTGGTTTCATCAGACCATAACGCTTTTTCCCACATGCTTTTGGGAGATTTCAGATGTGTTTTTGCAAAATTTAGTTGGGCTTGGATGTTTTTCTTCGTAAGAAAATATTTGCACAAAAGCTTCAGGCTTCTGCTAGAAAGCTGAACGTGAAGAGGAACTTCATTTTTCAGCATGACAACGACCCAAAGCATACATCCAAATCAACAAAGGAATGGCTTTACCAGAAGATTAACGTTTCGTAATGTCCCAGCCAGAGCCCAGACCTGAATCCAATTGAATATCTGTGGGGTGATCTGAAGAGGGCTGTCACAGGAGACGCCCTTGCAATCTGACAAATTTGGAGTGTTTTTGCAAAGAAGAGTAGGCAAATATTGCCAAGTCAAGATGTGCCATACTGATAGACTCATACCCAAAAAGGCTGAGTGCTATAATAAAATCAGAAAGTGCTTCGACAAAGTATTAGTTTAAGGGTGTGCATACAGATGCAATCATATTATTTCAGTTTTTTATTTTTACTTCCCTCCACCTAAAGATTTCAGTTTGTTGTTCAACTAAGTTGTACAGTTCATAGGTCTCATTAAAGATGGAAAATGTTTTGAAATTATTTATCTTTGTCTTATTTTTGTACATCACAGACACTTGACATTTTAACAGGAGTGTGTAAACTTTTTATATACACTGTATGAAGAATACGGGAGATTGTTGTCACATGTACCACACAGCCAGTACTTGCCAGATATTCCGGCAGCTCCTTTAATGTTGCTGTAGGCCTCTTGGCAGCCGCCCTGACCAATTTTCTTCTACTTTTTTCATCAATTTTGCAGGGACATCCAGTTCTTGGTAATGTTACTGTTGTGTCATATTTTCTCCATTTGATGATGACTGTCTTCACTGTGTTCCATGGTACAGTGGTGCCTCGCATAATGAGCGCACCGTTTAACAATGAATCTGCATAGCGATCTATTTTTTGTGATCGCTAATGCGATCGCATTGCACTGTGATGTTTTTAGAACAGCTGATCGGCTGTTCCAAAATGGCCGCCGGGTGCCCAAAATGGCTGCCGCAAGCATTTTCGCGCGGTTTCCTCACTTACCGAGGCGGCGAAAATGGCGCCGCTATGGAGGATCTTCGCTGAACTGTGAGTTTTCGCCCTATAGGAATGCATTAAACGAAGTTTAATGTGTTCCTATGGGGTTTTTAGTTCCGTTTAGTGACGATTCCAGATAGCGACGATTAATCCGGAACGGATTAACGTCACTATGCGGGGCACCACTGTATATCTAATGCCTTGGAAATTCTTTTGTATCCTTCTCCTGACTGATATCTTTTAACAATGAGATCCCTCTGATGCTTTGGAAGCTCTCTGCGTACCATGGCTTCTGCTGTAGTATGTGACTAAGAAAATGTCAGGAAAGACCTACTAGCACAGCTGTATCTTATTTGGGATTCCTTAGAGGCACTTTAAATGATGGCAGGGGTGTACTGACTCCTACTTAACATGAGTTTGAATGTGATTGTTTAATGCTGAACGCAACTACATCCCCAGTTATAAGAGGGTGTGCACACAGATGCAACCATATTATTTCAGGTTTTTATTTTTACTTCCATCTACCTAAAAGATTTTAGTTTGTTGTTCAACTGAGTTGTACAGTTCATAGGCCTCATTAAAGGTGGAAAAGTTCTGAAATGATTTCTCTTTGTCTCATTTTTTTTTACATCGCAGACACTTGACATTTTAACAGGGGTGTGTAAACTTTTTATATCCACTGTAAGTCATAAATATTCACTTTGTTTCTTGCCTGCTGTTAATAAGCCACTGATGGAATTTTATGGGGGGAAGGGTGCATGACTATGCTGGCTTGGCACATGCTCAAGAATCCTGGGGGTGGGGGCTCACTCAGTGCCAATTAGAAGCAAATGAATGTTATGCATTTTGCCTTCCATCTGCACAACACAGCAACAGAGTTCAATTAAACCGTACAATTAATAAAGGCGCTAAAATTATTTTCTTCTAATGCTAGCCACTCTTTCCAAAGGCATAATTTCGCATATCATAGAAAAAGACATCCACATAATTTTATTTTATTTTACTTTGCTTGGTAAACCACAAATATTTCTAACTGTTGTCTCCACCCCTATTCCTCTGCTTGCACAGAGCATTTAGTAGAGGAAGCATGTTTTGTTCCATCTCCTGCGAGGACTCAAAAACTAACAAGTAGTGTGCACCTGCAGTATTCTCTTCTCCCTTCCTACCTACTTCTAACAGGGTAGGGAGAGGGAAAGATAAGAAATGGATTTATGTCATTTCTTGCCTTCTCCAAATTTTTCAGAAGATAAAATAAGCTCTGTTTCTTCCCAAAATATAAGCTTCAGCATGTCATGATTTCTCACCCTGGACAAACTAACTAATCATAACTATGGTATACTAAAACAAGATTTAACTGCCCTCTAAAACCATTCTATTTTAATAAACAGATATATTGTGCTTATTTCAGAATTTGTACTGAAAGGTCTTGATCTCTTTTAGAAGCATTAGACAAGGGAGAGGAAAAGTATGCAAACTATTGTTCAGCACTGCATTCAAACACAGTCAGAAACAAACATTTCAGGTTTGACTCTATCATCAATACTGCTAACAACATTGACAACATGGTATCAGACATTAAAAGAATTCCAAAAATCCACACCAATTGTAATCAATCAATCAATTATATATTAATTTCTTTCAGAATGAAAGCTCTCTGTTTGCTAACACTGTAAAAAAATTCTCTTACGTCTTCTTCCTTGGAAAATAATTCCTCTAAAGCATTACATTTTCTGCTGAAATCTTCATTATATTCACATACAAATTTAATCAAACAATTCACAGTACTGTATAATCTTATGCATACCATGAGCAAATCCAGAGTTCAACTGAATCACAGCCATAACTGATTAAAACTTAAAATTTAAGCTACCATACCTTTCTTTTAAAAATCATACTACTCATAGTTCTAAGATCAGTAGCAGTAGTAGTGAATTCAAATAAAACAGATCATTTTTAAAACTCAGTTAAGAAACCGTGCCAGCTGTTTTGTTCATTCCTTCCATTCTCATCGTCCCCTCCCTACATTCTACCTAGGAGTGATTTCCAACACCTTAACTCTAGCTTGAGAAATTTATTTAATATAAATTAAACAGAATCTTCTCATCTTACTAGTTTTATTTTATTCAAGCGGAAATTAGCTCAAGTATTAATGTACTGCAGAGTTCATTATTTATGCTGTAAATTGCCACTAATAATCTTTAAATAAATGCAGAACACCAACATTACAATTCTATACAACATACCATGAAGTCCTCCTGAACAAAGTAAGACTTAATTTTAATTAAACCTGTAGAGAATTGTACTGCTATACTATTTACTACTATTTATAATTCTAATTTCAAAAACTTAATACTAAAGAAAAGTTGCATTTCCCTCTTCACCACCAATGTGACTACTTAGGCAGATAATACTTTGCCGGGCAGAATCAACTGGTGGACTTCTGTTGGCAGAACAGCAGAAATCAATAGAACCAGAATTCTCATTCCCCACTGCAACCTCTAGAACACCCCAAAACTGGCCCTAGAAGGCTGTGGAAACCTACAATTTTTGTTTGGATGGATGCAAAAGTCCATTCAGACTTTTGGCAAAATACTGGATTTAGCCCCAAGTATTAAAGATTGGAAAAGTTACAGTAAAGGAATAGAATTACAGAATTGGAACTACCTAGGTTATCTATTCCATGCTGCAGTAGGAAAGAAAACCCATAAAAATGATTTATTCTGCAAATATATATATGCAAAAGCAAAAAAAGCAAAGCATGCTGCTTATATACCGCCCCATAGCGCTTTAAGCACTCTCTGGGCGGTTTGCAAGTTAATTATGCAGGCTACACATTCCCCCACCGCCACCCTATGAGCTGGGTACTCATTTTACCAACCTCGAAAGGATAGAAGTCTGAGTCAACCTTGAGCCGGCTATCTGGGATTGAACCCCAGGTCATGAGCACAGTTTTAGGCTGCAGTACAGAGGTTTAACCACTTTGCCATAAGGCTCTTAGGATATGATATAGCTATATTATATTACTATATTGCATCACTTAATTCCTTTAAAGGTAATTAAATACTCTCACTGGATGCATATATTTGACTCCCATCTGAATTTACTACTTGGCCATCTCTGCAAAAATATAAATGTAAATATAAATATAAATGACAGGATAGACTCCACTGATCTAGCTCACATGAAATGTCAAATCACATTTTAATACTACAGTAACAAGCCATATGCCCAAGTGGTGTACTTCAACTGAGTCACTTCCTCATTTGATCAAACCATAATATGCCTTTAACATAAAAAATTACAAACCAAGATTGAAGTGTACAGCTCAAAGAAGGGAGGAAGAAAAACA